GCTGATCCCATCTGCATCCCAGCCAGAGTTTGATTTGACAAAGGAAATTAATCTCCTATCAGGAGATTTTGCACCGAGGCATTTTGGTCATGACCTATTTGAACTCCACCAATAAAAAAGGAACTCACTCCCAATTGTCTCGCTGGTAGCACGTTTTGTTCCCTGCTGCCCTAATTCCCTTTTTTTTGGGCAGTTGAGCATATGCTGGGCTATCAGATTAGGGATTGTTTTTAAATGGAAGAAAACAAGAGCTGCTTTTCCTCCATTACTGTCCTGCCAGTGGCTTTTCAGTGGGAGTGCTGGGGCCGTGGACAGCAGGACAGTGTCCCTGTCAGCAGCAGGGGCTCGGGGGGTCACACGTGCTGCATCGGCATCCAAGAGAGCCGGGAGGCTCCCTCCAGCCCTGAAGGAGTGGGTATCTGGAGGGGGGGTGACAAGCAGGGAAGCAGCACAATCCATAATATATAAATCCTGACGGTTAAAATGAAATTTCTTACCCAGGCACGTTCACAGATGGTTGGAGTAGTTTAATACGGGAACACGCCAAGTGATTTTATTGCCGTGCAAAACAAGCTGAGACAAATAGATTGGGAGTGTTATTAACAGGAACTCGGTGGAATTGCTCCCATAATAAGGGAACCCCTGATGGGCAGCAATTTCATCTGTGTCAGGGGGATCAGAAGTGGCTGCTCACCTTGGCCCATCATGGCACCCTCTGGCTTTCCTAAAGGAGAAAGGGGCAGGAGCTGGGGCTGCTTGGGAAGCAAACGGAGCACAACCTAAGCAGTGAAGTACAAACTACCCCCAGCTATCCTCCCTGCAGCACTGAAGCACAACAGGACTTGCAGGAGATCCAAGACAACATTTCACAGTCCAAACAGCCCCAGAGTTATCCCCCAAGGAAGTGGCCAGGGTGAAGGGCTGGATGTCACACACATCCCCCTGTTCCAGTCCAGGTTACCAGGACAATATCTGTGTAACCATCACTGCCGGTGCTTTATTCACCAGCAATGTGGGTCGGTGGGGAGGAGGGGATCTGTGTTTCCCACCAATCCTGCTGCAAACAGATGTTTTTAACCTAAATGGTGCTGCCAGAGGCTGGTGCATTTCTGGTACTGCCTGGGAAACGTGCTGTTCAACGGGAGACGGTGCCCAGGACAGCAGGGTGGGAAAGTACCACAGCCCTGGGAGGTGCCAGAGGGGGGATCCCGCTGTCCCACTCGGCTTGGAGGGTCACTCTGACCCCCAGAGCCCGGGGATGAACCCTGGGGTGGTTGTGCCAGCACTGCAGAGCACTGGGTGCAGAGCCGGTGCCGCTGGAATCGCAGCTCTGCCCTGCTTTGAAACCAGCTCAGAAATAAGAGCAGCACCGAGAGATGCATGCCCCTGGGACCCCGACCTGCCCAAAATAACCCCCTCCCCTCCCCAGGCTGGTGTGGGGCACAGACAGGCCCTGCACACACATCCCAGCACACACATCCCATCACACACATCCCATCACACACATCCCAGCACACACATCCCATCACACACATCCCAGCACACACATCCCAGCACACACATCCCAGCACACACATCCTGGCACACACATCCCATCACACACATCCCAGCACACACATCCTGGCACACACATCCCATCACACACATCCTGGCACACACATCCTGGCACACACAGCCCCAACACGGCCGAGGGGAGCAGAGGGGACAACCCCGGGGCCAGACCCAGCCTCTAGCATTGCAGGTGATGGAATAACCCAAATCAGAGCTTCCCTCTCCCGGCAGAGCCCCTGACCAGAGCAGCTCTGAGCCAACACGGATGATAAGAGTTAATTAACTTCCAGCACCCGTCATTTTTGTGGTGCCAGGAGCTGCTAGATCCCAGAATGGACCTGATTTAAACCCACTGCCCTCGCTCCCAGGAACGGTGCGCTTGTTACTCACCCGAGACAGCTCATCTTCCCCCCTGGCAGCCGGATTTCAGCATCCTTGAGCAGAACTACAACTGTGCACTTTGCCTACACACATCAGCCATATGGGCAGGGGATGGGAGCGGGGAGGACCCGGCGCAGCACGTGCATTATCCCTGCTATCCACAACCAAGCAGATGAAAAAATGTCAGCAAATTAAAATCTGCAGGAGCTTAATTCTGGGCAAATGGGATGAAATCCATTTGAGATAAAAAGAAAGAAAGAAAAAAAAATCCAGTACTGGAAAAGCCCAGCTCGAGGACGTGTCTGCAGCACCGGCTGGATCTGTGTGCTGAGTCGGGGGGTCTGGGGTTATGCTGAGCAGCAGCACTTTGCAGGGAGCACGTTTAAGCCCGGGGGGAGCCCAGGGAGGGGACAGCAGGGAGGGAGGACAGCCGGCAGCAGCAACAGCCCGAAAATAAATACAGCTGGTGCAGAGGGAAGATCCAATCAGGCCAGCGCGAGGGTCAGCGGGAGACGGGGACGTACCGGCCGCTGGCTCTGCGTGGCAGGGGACACACTGACACCCGCGGCCACCACCGTGTGCCCACAGCGGGCTCGGGCAGCTGCCCGGGGCCGGGGAATCGGGGGGGACCCTTATTGGCATCACCCCAGCATCGCCCCCAGCATCGCCCCACCATCCCTGCCCATCCCTGGCCGATGGCACTGCCATTACTGGATGGAAGTGGCTCACCCAGCCCTCCGAGGGCTCCTCTCCTCCAGGCTCTGCAGGGTGGGAGGCACGGGTGAGGCCACGGTCTGGGGTGTGTGGCACTGCCCCCCACATCCCGGGTGGAAAGAGCTCACGGAGAGCTGGGCACAGCCTCGCAGGATGGATACCCCCATGATCCCAAGTCCTTCATGGGGTGTCCCAAAGGACAAACCCCAGGACGCTCCCTGGGTCAGCTCCGATGGGCTCTGCTCACCTGAACTGCACCCACACCCTGCCCGAGGGTGGCTGCCCTGTGCCCTGGGGACAGGCACGACAGCCACACCAGCACCCCACACTGGCACCCCACCCCTGGGCACGGCATCAGAGCTGGGACTCCCCTGCATGGACCCCCACGTGGCACAGACCCCAAACCCCCTCCTCAGTCACCAATGGACTGAACCCGTTTGAGCCATGTGGAAATCAAGGAATTCACAGCACCCCCAAATCCAGAGCACTCGGGAGCCCTCACCACCTTCAGTGAGAGTAAAACACGGAAAGCTCTTTCTTGGAAGCAAACTCGTCAGACAGACGGGAGAGCCCGGGATCAGCACCTGGGATCAGGCACGGCAGCACACACGGCACTGCCCCCCAGCACCCACAGCTGGGAAACCTGGTCTCCAAAGCACCTTTTTTTTTATTTTCCTGACTTCATTTCATTAAGATTATATGGTAAATCTTTGCCCTGAGCTAAATATTTCATTTCCATTAAACCCAGATTAGCTGCCTGATCTGCGGCACCTCTTGCCCAGGCCCTGGCGTTAACATTTCACACGGGGACATGGCCAACCAGGGGGTTTGACCCCGTTTTTTGGGGTGCTGTCCTAGAACATCACAGGGTGGGTATGGGGCAAGCTCTGCTCCCCTCGGGGAGACAGCAACACCGGCTCCAGCCACGCTCCCCTCACTGACATGGGGATTACTGGGATGGGGACACCCTGGGGGGAACCTGCTGTGCCCCCCACAGAGGGGCTTGGGTCCAGAAGAAGATTTGGACACTTACTCAAATCCCCTCTGTGGGGGGAAGTAATCCCATATAATTCCCTGAGGATGATGACAAAGGGGATAGTGAAGGCATTCGAGGCATTTCCACAGATCTTGCTGGGGAAAAGAATTTTCCTGAACTGTGGGGGGTGGGTTTCTTTTTTGATTTAGTTCAGGGTGATGGCTCAGGCCTGGCTCAGTGCCATCCACCCCTGCCCCCAGCCCCAGCTGTTTGCAGGCCATGTCCCTCCAGGATGCCCAGTGGGGACAGGACAGCCTGGACATGGGCACCTGGACAAGGTGGATATGGGGAGACGATGGTCCCCTCTGCACCCTGGCCCTGCAGGGGTCTGTGCCATCGTCCCCAGATGTGGGGGGGCTGCAGGGGACCCACATGCAGTCACAGCAGAGCAGTGGGATGCTGCGTGACAGGGCCACCGACCCGCTCCCCCCGTCCTCCCCAGCGCCAGCCCGGTGGAGACCCCGGCACCGGGGCGTTGTTATGGAAACTGTAATATCTTACAATTCCACTGATTAAAGCAGGAATTGGAAAGCTGGGCCCGGAGCGGGGCCAGATGGAGACCTGATTCCCTAATGGCCATCGTCTCAGCCTGGCCATAATCCCACCACGTGTCCCTGTGCCAGCACCAGCTCTGTCTCCAGTGCCAGCCACGCTGCGGAAGAGCAGCGGATCGGCTGCACCCCCTTGGCACGGCCGCTGCTCCAGGGGCTCAAGAGGTTCTGGGGATCCCAAGCCCGAGGGGAGCATTGCCAGAGCACCCTGGGATGTGCAGCCCCTGCCCAGCAGAGCCCATGGGCCCAGTAGAGCTCCCTCAGCTGCTCCTGCTGCTGGAGCTTCGGTAGCCCTGGCTGAGCCCTCGCCCACCTCCAGCTCTCACCCTGTGGGACTCAGTTTATTTTTTGGCCAGGCTCTTGGGGAATCTCCAGTGGTTCTGCAGCTAATCCCATCTCCCTTCCCAACAACAGCCAGGAATGGGAGCCCTGTCCCCTGCTGCAGGCAGAGGTGGTGGCTCTGTAGGGCCCGTGACCACAGCTCCTGGTGGGGGGGATGTCCACCCATCCGTCCTGGGCAGGACAACCACCCAGGCTGGCGGGCACAGGGATGCCAGGCTGAGATGCCACCAAGCTCAGCTCAGCTGTCCCTTGATAAGGGAGTTGACATCCTCCCTGCAGGATCCTCTCGACCCCTTCCCAACAGGAACCTCCCAACCCAACCCGTGCGTGCACCGCTCAGCGCTGCTCACCCGTCACCGGGGGGCAGAGGGATGGACGCCCATGGTTTGATGGCACCACGGCAGCAGGGAGGTGGCACCTTGTACCTGATGTTGTCAATGAGGTGCTGGTGGGACTCCTGGGTGAGGACCATGCAGAGGGCATAGGCCAGGCACTCCACCTTCCTCTCGGCCGCGTACTGCTTCAGCACGGTGAACACCCTCTCCTTGAGCTCTGGCTGGTCTCCGAGGATGTCGTCCACCTGCCACGTGGGAGCCAGGAGAGGAGAGGGAAGGGCCCCTGAGCAGTGGAACCGTATGCACGGAGGAACTGCCACGTGGAAACGTGTCCGTCTCCCTGCACCACCTGCTCAGCACACGAGGAGGGAACCACGCAGGGAGGAGAGGGAACTTCAGACAGCAGCCCATCACACAGCACTGCTGGAGTCTCACACGCATCCCTGGAATTGCTGTTCCAAACATTTCACCAGGACAGTGGCATGACCCCAAACCCCACACTTTCTGGGTCACAAGTGACCCCACAGGAGTGGCTCTGGCACAGCAGGGATGGGATCAGTCTGGAGTCTGCCTGGCAGAGGACACTGCAATGGGCTTTTGGAGCTATTTAAGCTTCATACTTCATCTATCGCTCCCTGATCCCCTGCACTGTCCTGCCTTTAGCACTGGGAAGCTGCTGGGAAATGGGGAGAGGGAGTGTGAAGGTGAGCACCAGCCCTGGAAACAGCACTGGCAGCTCCCACTTGCTGTCCTGTCCTCTCCACCTGCAACATGCAGAGTAATTACCTAATTACCATCGAGCCAATTACCCTGCATGGGACCCTCCTTATGCACCTCTTCCCGGGCTGGGGGGCTGTCTCTTTTCCTTGGGCAGTGGGAGCTGGTCCCTCATCTGGAGCATGTGCCTGGAATGCAAGAACTCCCTGTGAGTCCCCACCACACCTGTGTGTGTTTGATTTTCCTTCAGGGGGATGTTTTTGTGCTGACAGCAGGTGTAACTGCTGGGTTTAACAGTAGGAAGCAGAGGAGCCCCTCACCCTTGCCCAGGGCACTGGGAGGGGGGTGTGCAGGGCTCTGTGTGCACCCCTGTGGTGGCACTGCCAGGGAGCCAGCAGGCATCACCTGCCCAGGGAAGGAGAAGAGCCATTCCTTCCAGGTGCTTGTCCCACTTGGCAGCTCCCTGGGGAGGCTGACAGCAGCACCGTGACCCCAGCACAGCCCCCCTGGCTCTGCGCAGGCACCGCGGCAGCTCCGGCAGCAGCAGCACTTCAAGGTCACCAAATCTGGGGCAGCCACGGCAGCAGCGTCCCCTGGGCAGGCTCGTGTGTTTCTCAGTTCCCGGGTCCAGCACAGGAATGACAGCCTGTGGTGTTCCTGGTGGGATGCATCCCAGAGGGCTGCTCTTAAATTTTTGCCTGGGCTGAGATTGCAGGGTGGGTGGGAATCACAGAATGATTAAGGTTGGGAAAGACCTCCCAGACCATGGAGTCCAACCTGCGACCGATCCCCACTTTGTCACTCAGCCCAGAGCACTGAGTGCCACATCCAGTCATTCCTTGGATACCTCCAGGGATGGGGACTCCACCACTATGGGGGTGCTGCCACCCTTCATACAGCCCCCAGAGTGTCCCTGAGCATGCAGGGGACAAGAGGAGATGCAGACCTGGGACTGAGACCATGATCACCTCCACTGCCTCCTGGTGATGCCCTCAGGTTGCTGGGACACTGGACCAGCCCAGCTCCAGCCCTGCCCCAACACTACTGATGTGGCCACTGCTCTGTCTGCCAGGTGGGTGTGACTCAACCCAGGGCTCTACGGGATGAAGGAGGCTGGGAAAAAGTGACCTGTGGGCAGTGCAGGTGTGAAACACAAGCCACCAGCACCCTCCGACCTTCCAGCCTGGCGCTGGGTGGGCAGGAGCACCCGGCTGTCGGCAGCCCCTGCCAGAGCTGAGCTCCCAGGTAAGTGAGGGGGTCAGGCACCCCTCTGGGCTTGTTATTTTCTACATCATGTGAAGAAATGAAGCCACTTCAAACATCTGCCCTGTTCATTCCCTCTAGAGAGGCGTTTGCCAGCTGAGCTGTGCTCCAGCATCCAGAAGCCAGCGGCACAATCCTCTGTTCTCAGCAATCCTGTTTCTGTCCAGGCCCTCTGGGCTTGTCACAGGTAGCTTTGCTCAGCAGGGAAGGGAGGTGGCAGAGGTGGTGTGGGTGCTCATGCTCAGCGGTGAAGGGAGGAGACAGAGACTGATCAGGTATTTGCAGCACTGTAACCAACTTGCTCTCCCGTGGTCACCCAAGAATCTTTTGCTTGGCTTAATGTGGTTTCATGAGATGGAGGTGGATGGAACAACCTCCCCTCCTCGATAATCTCCTGTAATCAGCAGGTATCTGTTTCCCATGCCATGCTCAGCCCTATGAATCCAAACCTCAGTGTGTATTTGTAAATCTTTAATGTAGAAGCTGACTGAGGGGATTTGCCTGATACCCACAAATCTCTTTATGGATGTCTTGTTCCTTTATTAACTTGGGATCAAAAAAAACCCCACCAGCCTGGTTATTTTCATAACAGCATTTTAAAAGGCTACTTTGAAATGGAAATTAGAAAGATTGAAAAAACAAGTGTGATCAAATTTATAATTAGCACGAGGCAATGTGTTTGGTTAAACACCCACTAGGAAACTTTCGGGAACGCAATGAAGATGTAATCACATTGATGTTTTCTCTTTTGCAACAAAGTAAGAACTAAAATGTCTACAGGGTGACAGGCTCAGACTTTGAAGGGACATCCAGACACGCAGCAGAGCAGGATCTGCCCCTGTGAGTTTCCCCAACACTTGCAATGCAAAGGAATGAGTACTTGGGGTCACCCCAGGGGATCCCCAAGCTCTTCACACCATCCATCTGTTCTCCCAAGTAATTATCAGACCCTTCTCTCTGGTGTTCATGCCCCAAATCCGCACCCCCGGTTGGTGACCCAGCCAGGAGCATCCCCCCATCCAAGCACACTGCCAAATGTGGGAATCTCTAGACCTCGGCTCAGAGGGTGCCCAGTGCCCCAGCCCTCTCCCCACACCCGGCCTTACCTTCCTGCTGAATTCCTGCGCTTTCTGCCTCCTGTCCCGGCGCACGGCATCGCCGCTGCCCGCGGGGTCCCTCGTGGCTGCCCCGCGCTGGGGCCGCAGCAGCCCGAGCCGCAGGGCCCGCCCGCCGCACGACCCCGCCAGGGCGGCCGCCGCCTCCGGCAGCATCACCGGCATCCCATCGACTTCCAGCACGTAATCCCCCGGCTCGATCCCGCAGGCCGCGGCGGGAGACTCCGGGCTGACGGTGGCCACTCGCGGGGGGCTGCCGCTCGCCAGCTCGAAGCCGAAGCACCCCCGCGGGCCGGGCGGGAGGCTGGCGCGCTGCAGGCGGGACACCACGCCGATGCTCGGGGGCACGTTGCCGCAGCGCCGGGCCAGCGCCAGCAGCGCCTCGCAGCCCAGCTCGGACACGGGCTGGCCCTCGATCTCCAGCACCTCGTCCCCCGGGCGCAGCCCCGCCCGCGCCGCAGCGCTGCCCTCCTGCACCCGCAGGATGTAGCACGGGCCGCAGCCGCCTATCTGGAAGCCGAAGGACTCGGGCCAGCCCTGGTTGGTTGCCGGCATGGCTGTGACTGGAAAAGAAAGAGGGAAAGAAAGGAGTTGTGGTGGCTTTCCTGCCCTTAAGGATAGTTCCTGTAGATGCCATGTGGATCCCGTGGCATGGGGGGTTCTAGTCTGTGCTGTGCCCTCCTCACCGCAGGAAGAAATGCCCCAAGACACTGAATTTGCCCTAGATTTCCCTAAAATAGCATCTTTTCCTCATTCTATCACTGGCTGCTGGCAGTGCCATTAGCAGTGAGGAGGCCACGTTGGCTGGAAAGGTTGGGGCTACACATGGCACCCAGACCACGGCCTGGCACAGCCTCTGTCTCCCGTGTCAGTGGCACCCACCAACCCCTTCTCCCCTGGAGGTGTATTTAGGCATCTGCTTGTGTTTATTTCTCTGGGAAAACGGTTATTTAATTTTCCTGGCAAAGCATATTAATGAACAGATGATCCAAGGACTTAAAACCACCTGATTTTAACCAGCTCTTCTCAACACTCAGTATTTTAGCTGTTTGCAACTACAAAATTACTGCAAATTCATTAGAATTTGCCAGATCCTCTCAGCTCTCCTGGGAGCATTTCTTTGTTCCTCCCTGTCCTGTGTATGGATTGTCCTGATCACAGCATCCTGAAATGGCAAGATGAGGATTTTCAGAAGGACTTGTTTGTGATTCATGAGAAGGGTTCAGACAGGCTTCATGGATGCTCAAGGAGAAATCGGGCACATCAGCCCTGAACATCTGCAGGAGCCGTCTTTGCCCAAGGTAAATCTGACCAGCTGATGTGCACAGTGCACTTGGGTGCCCTTTCCATGCTGCTCATGCCCAGATGACCTCACTGTGGTCCCTTCCAACCCTCCCACTCTGTGATTCTATGATGTGCTGACCCTCACTAAAATAATTCACATGTAGTTTTCTTCTTCATTTGATCCCATCTGTCTGTAAAAATGCTTTTTACTCCCATGTTTATTCCATCTGTGTTACTGAACAGACATTAAGCTCTTACAAAAATGCAACCAAGCTGTTTGACCTGGACAAATTGTCTTACAGACTGTGAAGACTCAGCGTCGCTCAAGAAAACGTCCTCAGGAACACACGTTTGGTGCTCTTCAGATCAAAAAGCCTCAAATAGGCACAGAGCCCAGCAGCAGCCTCAAGGCAGCTTTTGGGGTGTCCCCCCCATGCCTGGGCAGCCCAGGAGGTCCCAGTTTGCTCTGGTCTGTGCTACTGCCAGCACAGCAAAGGTATCCCTTCACCCCTTCACCTCACCTCTACTGGGGCAGGTGGCTCTCTGGGCTCTGATCTGAATCAGAATCAGGGACTACGGTTATCATTTAAAGAGAAAACAAAGCTGTTTTCCACATTAACAGTGTGGATGTCAAGGACCAGAAGGGAAGAGCTGAGGGTGAAGCATGGGACAGCAATGGGATGAAATCCATCTGCGACCAAACACCATCCCTGGGGCTGCTGAGCACAAGTTTTGACAGCTCCAGCAAGAGCCCAGTAAGCACTGGGACAGCTCCAGCCCCACTGCTCCGGGCTGAGCTCCCGGGAAAAGCCCAGCAGAGCAGCGAGGAGCTGCACCCCCCTTCCACCTCTGCGCCCATCAGCTCGAGCACTTACAGAAGTCCGCAGCCATCCGAGCGAGCCGGGGGCTCTCACCGGCAGCAGGTTTGTCCCACTAAGGGGTCGAAGCTTTCTCGAGTCTCCTCCATCACCCCTAGAAGCCAGTCCCCCCTACCCGCAGGGCTCCTGGGAGCATCTTCCCGGCTCCCCTGTCCTCGCTGCAGCCCCCGGAATTTGGGGCCAGCCCTCGCCGGTCTGGGGGTGGCAGAAACGGCTCCTGCACCAGGGCAGGGGGGGGCTGCCCCTTCCTGCACTTCTCACGGGAGCCCTGCGCCCTTCTGGCCGCTCCGGGTCAGCGCCAGACACGAACTAAGGTCTTTCTTCCCTTTTCCTTTCCTAATTAACCTTATTTCCATCGCAAAGAGAAGCGTGGACGGACTAATTGCCGTGCTCGTCCTGGCTGAGCCTGTTGCTGACCTGAGCCTGCAGATCTGGGGGGAATTAGGAGCTGGAAGGAGGGAAAACAGATTAGCGCCCGTGGAGGGAAATCCTTTACCCACAGGGCAAATCTGAAGCGACAGCACTTTGCAAAGCAGCAGGGACACAGCGCCGGGGGGACCTGGGAGTGCTGGGACCTCGCTGGTGAGTGGGACACAGGGATTTTGGGAGTACAACCAACACGCGGTTTGCTGCAGAGTTATGAGAGTCTGGACCAACTTCGGGGCTCAGCAGAAGAGCTGTCCCCATCCAGGCTGCTCCAGGCAGGACAGCAGGGGGCCCTCACAGCTGAGTGTTTGGCCGCAGGGGCCCCCGTGCTGACACCGACTGTCCCTTAAGCTGCTATTTCTGATTTTCTCCTCGGCTTCCTCAGCACTCAGGGATCCCGGGGCTTAGCACACTAAGAGGTTTTAGGGAATTACACGTCCTGCCGTGGCACCATCTCTTCGTGGACCACACAGCAATCCAGCCTTCCCTTGGCTCCAGCGTGGGCTGTGCAGTGTTGGGAAAGGTGGGAAACAACCTCCCCTGGGAAACCTGGGAGAGCTGACATGGGATCAGGTAAAGCCTTAGGATGGAGAGCTGCAGGGACCTGCTCTGTCCAGCCTGAGGGTGAGCAGGATGTGCTGGAGGGTCTTCCTCCCACTTGTGCCCTTCATGGTCACTGCTGCAGGGGATTGGAGCCCTCCTTCCTCCCACTCCTCCTCCTCCTCCTGTCCTCTCCAGCTCCTTTTGTGCAGGTTCTCCTGCACAGAGCTCCCTGAGCAGTGATCCCCAAGCATTGGGGGATCTCCCCTCCTGTGCTGACACAGACACACACACTCCTCCTACAAACCTCAGGGCATCTCCCACTATTCCCTGCCCAACAGACAAAACTACAATGAATTCTTTTTTTCAGCCAGCAAAGTAATTGCTTCTTCCCCCCGCCCCACTTTTAAGTGACTTGAGCATTTTAAACACTGACAGTGAATTTTAATCCTTGCAAGAACAGAGTTCTGGGATCCCAAGCTAATGGAGATGGTTTCCTCGAAGACCTTCTGCCAGATTTCGACCAGCCAAGACTTTTTAAGTCATTTTCACAGTGTTTGGACTGAATGAGCTTCATCTCTCTCTGTCTCAACCTCTATTAAGGTATTTGCTGGCAGGTTTGTCCTTGGGCACAGCCAGTGAGGGCACCAAGAGTGGATGAGCTCCTCGGAGGTGCCGGTGCCGGTGCCAGTGGTGCCAATGCTGGTCTCGGCGTGGTGGCACTCCCTGCAGCTCCTGCCCTGGCTGTGCCCAGGGGCCTTGGCACACAGACCCTGCCTGTCCACCCACAAATAACCCACCACGTGCCCACCCCCGTCCCTTCTGTGCTGCCAGACTTGCCAGGTGACACCCAATGTCCCAAACCAACCTGTTTCTGTACCTGCAGAAATTCTGATGCCTCAGTAGGATGGGGGAAAATGTTTTTTTCCCCTCCGTCCTCCATCAGGAACCAAGTGTCTCAGGCTACACACCAAGAGAGCTGTGCCCCAGGAATATTTTGACTGAATTTCTCTCTCTCAGGGTCTGGTTTGGTGCACTGGGGGCCTCGAACTTATAGGGGGGAAAAAAGTCCCTTCCTGAAACTTGCCCTCCTCTGCTGCCTCCAACCAAGCCGATTCATCTCCCCTGGGTGCCAAAGCCCCCGGAGCACCCCTGGAGCTCTTACCTCAGCTGCCCCAGCTCCAGCCAGCGGCACGGCAGGACCCGGAGCTGGGAAAACCATCCCAGCAGTTGGGGAGCCTTTGGATCCGTGACGCGGCGGCCGCGACCGGCCGTCTTTCTCTGGCAAATTCCAGCCGGGCACCGTAACCCAATCGGCCCCTCGGCGGCTGCACGGGCGGTTTCAGTTGTCAGACACCACGGAGGGATGCGGCACAGGGCTGGATCCTGCGTTTTCCCACCTCATCCCGGCCCCAGGTGAGATCCAGCAGGTGCTGGAGCAAACCCACCTCACCTGCAACAGGGCAGGGTGAGGAGGCTCCGGGTGAGAAGGGAACGTGGTGCTCACAGCTCTGATAAGGCACGAGGATTTTGCTTTAGACATTTCGACAAAGGCCACAAAACTGAAGGAATTACTGGAAATTCCTAAGGCATGACGAAGGAAGGGCCAGGGCAGCGCCACGGACCCTCTGGGGAGAAGGAAGCAGCGCATCGGCTGCTCGGGACTCCCCCGGTAACTGCCCGGGGCCGCGAGAACGCGGCACGGGGCGCTGGGGTTATAAAGTCATTTAATTCACACTTTCACGGCTTTAACCCTCCTCCTCTGCCGCCGCCCCGGCGCCCTCCGGAGCCGAGCGCTGGTTCCTCGCTGGGGCCGCTCCGGGAACGGTCCCTGCGGGGCCGCCGGGGCGCGGGAGGGCGCTGGAAGCCGCTGGAGAAGCTGGGAAGGGCCCTTCCGCAGGGCTGGACGGCGCGGACCGGGCGGGAGCTCCGCGGTCCCGGGATCCCACGGGATCCCCCCGGGGCTGGAGCGTGTGCGGGGAAGGGAACGGAGCTGGGGAAGGGTCTGGAGCACCAGGAGCGGCTGAGGGAGCTGGGGGGGCTCAGCCTGGAGAAAAGGAGGCTCAGGGGGGATGCCAGGGGAGACAGGAGGGGGAGCCAGGTGGGGGTCGGGCTCTGCTCCCAGGGAACAAGGGACAGGAGGAGAGGGAACGGCCCCAAGCTATGCCGGAGGAGGTTTAGGTTGGATATTGGGGGAAATTTCTTCATGGAAAGGGTTGTTAAACACTGGAAGGGGCTGCCCAGGGGGTGGTGGTGTCCCCACCCCTGGAGGTTTCCAAGGAAGGACTGACCGTGGCACTCAGTGCTCTGGGCTGGGGGACAAGGTGGGGATGGGGCACAGGGGGGACCCCATGGGCTGGGAGGGCTTTTCCAACCTGAAGGATTCTGTGAATCTGTCTTGGCCCTCACAGAAATACTAAAAAGCTTGACCTCAGTCCTGTGCACTGGTGGAGGAACTGGGATGTGCTGGTGGAGGGGACTGGGATGTGCTGGTGGAGGGACTGGGATGTGCTGGTGGAGGGGACTGGGATGTGCTGGTGGAGGGGACTGGGATGTGCTGGTGGAGGGACTGGGATGTGCTGGTGGAGGGGACTGGGATGTGCTGGTGGAGGGGACTGGGATGTGCTGGTGGAGGGACTGGGATGTGCTGCCTGGGCTGGAGCTGCTCCATTCCCGTGGTCAGTGAATCCCAGGCCCTGCTGCAGGGACTCAGCCTGGGGGGCTCTCACAGCTGCTTCTCTTTCGTTCCAGGGCTCGGGATGGACTTCCTGACACTCTTCTTGGTTTACCTGTGCTTTGTGCTCCTTGTCACTGCTCTGCTCTGCCTCTGCTCGGGAAGGAAGGAGAGTTTCCTCGCAAGGAGTGTCACCAGGGCAAGCCAGGTAAAGAACTGGCCTTCCAGGCAATGAATGAGCTGCCAGGTAAAGCACTGAGCTTCCAGAGGAACGATCATCTCCTGCTCTGGTGGTCTGCCCTGCTTCATTGTGTTAAATTAGTGTGACTGCTTTATTTCTGCTCCCTAAAAAATGCCAGTGTATGTGGTTAGAGTGATAATATAGTATATTTCATATTTCATCTTGTTTTGACAACTGCTCTCAAGGAAGTGGGGCTGGAAATAGAAATAAACTTCCTTTCAGGTGTTTAAATCCTGCCCAAGCAGGTAGTAAAAAACCATTTGAGTCTCACAGCTCCTGTCCCTGCCTGTGCCTGTCTGAGGTGGGGGTGAGGATGGAACTCCTCAAAATGCTGGAAGCACCTTTTCTGTGACACCACAACATGTCAGCTTTGAGAAATTAAATAATAATCAGGCCCCGGGAATTTTCAGTTTTATGTTATTTGTTGCTGTCATTGAGGGGAAAAAGATGGGGGAGGTTTAAGGATTAAAATAGAGAATTATAACTGGTGGCAAATATTTTAGGGGAAGCTCTTTAATGTGTGTACTAATGCTGCAGGCTGTTATACGCTAAGAAAGAGGGAGGAATGAAGAGTTTTAAAAGAGGATTAAGAATTGGCATTTTATTGTCAAAACAGAGGATTGGAAAAGCACCAGCTCGTTTTTCTGTCTGTTGGGCTGTGTCTGAATGAAAAGGGAAAAAAAGCTGTAGTACTCCTGGAAGGGAAATGATGAGAGAATTATCACTTCACTTGTAGATTATATTTAATGCTGTTCACAGGAGTTCAGACAGACTTTGATTTTCATTACCAGTATTATACTCGATCTTGGTTTATGGGCACACTGTGCAGAGAAATTGATTATTTTCCCCCATTTATTAATAGAAAGGTTTAACAAGCAGGAATTAAAATACTGCTGTGGTGTGGAGCCACTGCCTGGAGGAAATTAATTGATATTTGTACATATGAAGTAAATCCATGTGGATATAATCAATACTTTACCTGAACAGGCTCCCCAGGGCAGAGGTCACGGCCCCAAACCTGCCAGAGCTCAACAGGAGTTTGGACAACGCTCTCAGGGGCAGGGTGGGATTGTTGGGGTGTCCTGTGCGGGGCCAGGAGTTGGACTTGGATGACCCTCCTGGGTCCCTTCCAACTCAGGACATTCCATGGTTCTGTGATTAAATAGTTTCTCAGGACAATATTTTAAATTCACTTCTTGCTGTAATTGATGAATGTAAATAATGTAAGTATGTAAATAATGAAGTGTATAAGCCTGGAAGGCTGCTGAGGTTGCATTCAGGGTGCTTTCCTCCTGGGTTGTGTCTCCTCTGGCAGCAGGCTTTGAAAAGCCTCTTCTTACAAACACTTGCCCCTTGAACCGCTGAGACGAGATGCACCAGTTATCACCAAAATATTTAGCATCCTCTCAACTCCACATATGCTTTTTGCCTCCTGGTCTTTCACATCTGAGGCAGGAAGCTCTCGCTGCATATTTTCTTTCCATGTCAGCCAGAAATAGGCTCAGCTGCTCTAATTCCTCCTCCAGGAGCTGTGTGTTGCTATAGAGATGTGTGGGCTCGGAGCAGAGTCAGGCACAGGCACAGGCCATGGCTGGGGATTCACCCCATGAGCACAGGCAGGTCCTCCCTCACAGGCAGGTCCTCCCTCAGCACGTTGGACTGTGCTTGAAGGGGCAATTAGACATGGAGCCATCGGGCTGGATCAGACCAGTTGAAGAAACCAGATTTTTGGGGGTTTGGTTGGATTGTGTTTTTTTTTTCTTTTTCTGGAGGCCAGCAGGCTTTATCCCTTTGCTTATCTTCACTTGATCTGTCAGATGGCCTGATGGAGCATATTGTAGCTGGGGAATTGCTCAGTTCTATCCCCTGCTTAACCGGTGCCCAGCCTACACCCACCCTAAGCTCCTTAGAACTTTCACACATTAACCCAGATACGTTTGTTTGGGCTCCCAGGAATGTGGAACCCCAGCAGCATGCCTGCCTCTGCCCTTTCCTCATGGAAAGTGTGGAATTGGAACTGCCCAGGGAGGTGGTGGAGTCCCCACCCCTGTAGGTGTCCAGGGAATGACTGGCTGTGGCACTCAGTGCTCTGGGCTGGGGGAGAAGGGGGGGATGAGGCACAGGGGGGACTCCATGGGCTGGGAGGGCTTTTCCAACCTAAATAATTCTATGACTGTGTGTTATGGTTGGGCTGGATGATCTTGAAGGTCTCTTCCAGCCTTGGTTCTGTGATGAGCTCAGATGCTCCTGAAAATGAGACTCCTCCCCGGTGCTTTGACAGTACAAACACAGAACTGAGGGGCTGGGGGCTTGTGTTTAAATTTGAGCTTGCCCAAGGCAGAGGTGATGTGCAGTTCAGGTAACACAGTGTCTCCATTTCCCTCAGGTGCTCTCGCTGGTGATCCCCACCCAGCTGCAGAGGGTGGCACACAGGGTGGCACACGGGGCACTGCACAGGCTCTTCCACACCAGGTACTGCCCTTTCCTGCCTTTGGTGTTATTTTTCACTAATATTTGTGGTTACTGTTGGGCTCTCCTGCCACCACCAGAGCTTTCAGCATTATCCTGAGATGTTCCCTCTTCGTTAGGGATGTTTGTCAGGGGTTACAGGTTCCCTTTAAGGTTTGCCACGCTGTTGTCTCTCTCTTCCTTGCTCGTTGTTTAGAAGGTGGTGCCCTGAAACATTTGAGCACATTGACAAGTGAAGATAATGTGGCTCAGTAACAGATGTTGCTCGCACTGGTGGGAGCTGCATCCCCACAGGAATTACCACGGCCTCTGTGGCAGCTGCAGATGGAGTCAGACAGACTCGCAGGCTCCTTCCTCTCCCTCAAATCCCATTAGTCTTAGTCCAGCAGCCTGGATGTCCAGGTGGCTCAAGGGAAGCTGCCCAGCTGCCAAAGTGCAGCCTGCTGGATTCAGGTGGATTTTGTAGGGTCTGTAAACTCTGGTGCTTCAGGAATCATTTAAATCCCTTTTCCCTGGGGACAGGAGCTCCAGTGTGACAGACACTTCAGGGTGTAACATCTCCAGCTGTGCTGTGAGTGCTGGGCTTGTTGTGCTGCC